CTGCATCTCTGGGCATTTGGCACTAGCTCAGATGTTGAGCATTTTACTGTTCAAGCCTCGATCATCCCCTAGGCCACTTAGGGTGTCTCATCAATGAATTTAGAAATAAAAGTTGGCATATTGCTAATCAAGCCAGCAAGTGCCCTGGAGATGCTGAATCCTAACATTTTCATTCTCAGAGGTGTGAGAAACTATTTCCCTTCTTTAGGATTCAGCCTCTTAGGCTTTGTCTGTGACTAGTAAATTAAGTGTCCCCCACTGAGGTCAGTGAGGTCATTGAGGCATGGACTGGCTGACATCAGTAGGTAGAAGATGCTGGTTCAGACTTCTACTATGGAAATGAACCCTCAGCCTGCTTCTGTTAAGATGCTTCAGTTTTTTATTTGGGGGGCTCCAAGTTCACACACTTCGAGTTCTGAGCCCACCAAGTCTGGCTTTGTGTACAAAATGAGTATAAAGTAATTGTTGCTTACCACGTGGTGCTGTTCTGACTGCAGTGTTCCTCAACTTAGAGTGCTGGTGTGACTTTGCAGCATATCTGAGTCAGAAGACTTGTTTCCTAGCCCTACAGAAATTTAGTCTGTTTTTATCTCAGGTTAGTATCTTTAAGGCTAAACAGTGCTCCTGTCTAACCACAGTTGCATTTTATGTATAGCTATCCAGCTTACACTGAAAGTTTACCTATAGATACCTAAGTGATCCAAAGGTTACATGGGAAATGTTGGCCCCATTGAAGCCCCTAAAGTGAGGACCCTGGGGGCTCTTCCTGATGGGATTTAGCACCCCTGCTTCGAGAGTGATTTGCTTACAGGAGAATGTTCATTTGTAATGTTTAGCAAAATATCAACAACACAAAGAAAAAATATTCAGTATTTTGAAATGTTCTGTTATGATTGTGTCAAAGAGGCAGTTTTATTAGCCTGGCCCTTATTTTCATCCAGGATCAAATTCATTTCAGTTTGCTATTTAGTGAGCAAAGAAGTGGTGGCCTGAAGGGGATTCCAGCTCTGTAGCTGGGAGTGAGATCCAGAAGCTTCTCCTATGGCTGCTTGCATAAAAGGAATAGCTAAGATGTTTAAAAGTATTGCTGTGCTTCAGTATAGTTGAATTATACTTAATTTATCCACTTTACTTTTTAATAGGTTTTATATTGTCAGTATGAAAATGAGAACTGTTTAGCTAAAAATTAGCCAGATGGTTGTTTTAGAGCATAAAGAAGATCATCCTGTTCTCTTAGACTAGCTGATTTGTCTAAAGGTTGAAATCAAAGCTCTCTTGAAAGCATTTGAAAGTGCTTGTATTCAGCCAAGTTACTGGGACTTTTCATGTTTTCTGAAACTTTTATACTTCTGCACTGTCAGACCTCTTAATAGCTTTGTGTGTTTTTCTTTTAAAGCAAATTGATGGAGAAGCATTCCTGCTAATGACCCAATCAGACATAGTCAAAATAATGAGCATTAAACTGGGACCAGCCCTAAAAATCTTTAATTCCATTCTGATGTTCAAAGCTGCAGAGAAAAACTCGCACAATGAACTTTGAAGATATGGAAAATGTGCACGAACCAGCTTTCTCCACTGGAGCTCATGTTTTATTCAAAGCACAAAGACTCACTGGAAGTGTTGAGTAAGGACTCTCAGAAAGGAAGAAACTTAGGTTCAGCACTGGTGGACTATTTATATTCTCCTGGAGCCAGTACACATCTGAATCCTTCTGGGAAGTGTTCAAGCTTTTGGGAAGGTACTGTGTAACAACCGAGTCAGCTGGTCTTATTTACCAAACTAATGGCGCTAATTCTCCATGGATGGTTAGGATCCCTAACTCTCTCTGGACATCAAGAAAACCTTCATTAATTATTTATGCTGTATTATATAAGGGAACGTTAATATTTTCTAAGGATTCTTGAATCGTACTTCATGTACCCATTTTACTTTTTGGAAGATTTTACTTCATTTTATCAAAATAAAAACTGATCAGCCAAAAAATTAGGCTACAGGTAGCCAGATGAGACTGTTATGGCTAATGTGTATTTGTGCCATAGTTTGAAAATGAAACACTTAATGTTACATATGTGACACTTTATGCTACAGCATATTACTTTACAGATAATAAAACTGTCTGTTTGCTTGTAACAAAACAAACCTTGTTGGGGTTGAAATTATAATGCTTTTTTGATAACTGAATGTTTTTACTTTTGCACGATTACAAAAATGTTACGTGAGTTTTGCCACCAGCATCTTTAATGTATTTTATCAAAAGACCAGTATAGAGAAGGCTGCAACTGAAAAATAAAGTTTGACTTCATAGAAGATTTTTGTTTATGCTGCACAATAGACTCCCAGCCATTTACATGGAGTCTGCTACAGTTTTTCAGAACGTGGAAGAAAATAGGGGTATTTTGAGGCAAGGAAATTAGCAGAAAAGAAATTACATTCAATCATGTCTGCACTTCCCAGTCTTCAGCATAGTTACCACAACAATGGAGAAAAACTGTGCTCAAGCAAGGACTGCTACCCTGGTTTCAGATTCAACAGAGGTTTGTTTTCCCAGGGGTGGGAGAATTATTTTTCTCACCACTTTCTAGGTGGAAACTCTGATTTGTAAATGAATAAGGCATATGGGGAAAGGCAAAGCACAGGGGAAAGGATACTTACATGCTTGTGGTGCACCGGCACATGCTAGGTGTAAAATACATGCAATTCACAAGGTCATTAGCAGGCGGCAGATGCCACCAGCAGGTACTGAGGTGAGGCGACCTCCTTTCTGGGAGGGTTATTAGAGGGGAAGTCGCTGCACGGGGTATATATACACGCAAGATGTAGACCAGATGCACTTTATATGGGAGAAAGCCTAGCTACCTGTGTACTGAGGATTGCTCCAGAATGTTACTTTGCAAGAAGAGAGAGAAGAGTTGGATCAGGTTTTTTGGCAGCCCTCTGTTTAGTGCTGCAGTGGGCAGCTGCTCAGCTGTAGAGCTGCGAACAAGCAGAACATTCCCATTGCACAGAGCTTGGAGAATGTTACATCTTCACACAGATTTTGCTAGGCTTTTCTTTGGCTGGAGTTCTTAAGTTTTCACTCTCTGTGTCCCTTCCAGATCATGTAGGTGACTGGTACCTGCCATAATACGAGGTGAAACAGGGTCAGTATTAAGTAAGTTGCATTGCTCTGTTAATTTCCTCCCATAGCATTACATAAATAATATTTTTACATTTTGTTCAATATGTGTACGTTCAAATTGCACTCTTATTGTACTACAATACAAATAAAACCTGAACTGGAGCCTCTGTTACCTTTGTGTGTGCCCAGGACTCCCAAATGAACCCAGCTGGTCCTGATGGATGTGGTGTGGAGTGATTCCTCACTGTAGCTCAGTGCAGCCAGGAGTTTTAAAAGAGCAACTGATCTATGGCTTGTGCCCTCTCCCTCAGCACTTACTCCCAAAGCTCACATCCTCCTGGCCATTTACAGTCAGAATGCCATTTATAGCTCTGGACTTTGTCACCAGCAGCAACTGAAGTTGCACAGGTAGATAAGTGAAAAGCCAAATTCTTCTGTTTTCTTTCATTCTCTCCTTCCATGTAGTTTACTTTCCTTTACCCCGTGTCTGTCCTGTGTGCCAGGTCTACAGCCTGCAGTGATAACCAACAAAGAGATTTGCAGCTCAACAGAGATTACCTGGGGATGATAACACCTCTCTGAATTTTTATATACAACTACTTACAAACTACTGTGGTTTAAGAAGTGGATTTAAATTAATACTGTTTACAAGATGTAGAATAAACTGCACTTGAACCCAATTTTTTACTCATGCAGCTATCACGTACAAGGAGGACATACATAATCCTTACTTTTGTATCCCATGTGATGAGGTAGCCGAGTGTAGCCACCTCTGTTACAAAAAGTACAGTCAACAAATTCACTTGGATTCTAAAACCACTCATCAGACCTACTGAATCTCTGAAATGGCATTGGTTTTTTGTTTTGTATCTGTGGTAGCCCAGCCCTCACTGATAAAGGTTCCCTGCATTCCATGGGAACCATGTGAAGCCTATAGCAGGATAATTTGGCCATCAAATGCAGCCATCCCTCCTCATCCTGAAGAATCTCCCACTGTAATCAACACCTTGGAGTCACCCCTGCCAAACTTAACCAGCCAGAATTTAACCAGTCACACTACCCAAAATTTAACAAAGCTTCTGTGATCTTCCAGGCTGTGTGTTTGAGAGTTTAAAGAATTATCATGACCACAGGTGCTACTTTGCCTATGCTGATAGTTTTGGAACTGGTGGGAGATTGGTCTCTAATAGAAAACAGTGTTTTAATAAAAAGCCAGTTTTTATTTCTAATTAATGCAATGGGTCCTGGCTGGTGTTCTTATCACCAGGCACTTGTCCAAAGCTGTGCACTGCCAGATAGTATCCCCTGGGATTTTCAGACAGGATTTAGGAATAGAGTGTTGGGAAAGAGAGAAAGCTGTGGAAGAAGAGAGGAGAGGGCTTCTACTCTGTGTGGGTGGACAGAGTCACCATGTGGAGAAAGCTGATTTTTTCCAGGGAAGAAATTCGGAAAGAAAATGAGGCATTCGCTCTTCAGCACCAAAGCTGTGGTTACCAATGTACATGGCAGCATCCCAGATAAGTAATTCTTGCTACTTTGAGAGCTCATGTTAGGATCCCTGCTTAGTAAATTCAAGATTAATGTTAAAACAGAATGTTTCATGCAAGAAGAAAACAGTAAAAAGTCATCATCCTGCAAACCGAAAATCAGGCCCACCATTTTAAACCACAAAAATTATTATATTTGGCTCTCAGCAATCATAATATTATGAAATAATGGTAATAAGTAAATGTTTAATTTGTGCCATTTCAAAATATTAACTATTACCATCTAAAGCAGTGAAATGCTTATATTGACTCATGATGTTTTTTAGTTCTTACAATCAAAATATCTGAATTTTTCAAATGCTCCATACAGAAAAATAATACATAACACATGAAGTAATCTAGAAAATTTTATTATCTCTAGACTGCTCTAAAATCTACATTTAAAATAATGAAACTGCTTGAGTTTTAATTTTTTTTAGAAGTAGCCAGTACAAGAAAAAATGGAGGGCATTACTAAACATAACTTTTAAATATACATACACTTTCACTAGAAAGAATGGCACAAAGGGATATATTTTGATAAAATATCAAATACTTCTGAGAGGAGTGCTGGGTGCACCATTAGATACTGGACTCTTGGGTTCCTCCAGCCCTGTCTTTAACAGGGTGGGCAGGGATGCTGGGTTCCTCACCTCAAAGACCAGGGACTCCAGGAAGTTCAGTGTCCTGTGGATTCTCTTTGGGCATGGGATATCAAACACATGGAATGCAGCCACCAGTGCCGCCAGAGCCATGTTGCAGTCATTGAGCTGGGCTAACTCTTCCCTTTCTATGTACAGGGCAAACTGACAGGAATTCATGTTGAAGGGATTTTTCACTTCCAACACAGGTGTCACTGCCTTTACCTAAATTTAAAAAAGGGTATTTCAAATGATGCCACAACATTGCTACAATGAACAGATCAGAGAATGAAGTAAGCCTGATAACGCTGCTTTGAAGTTTGGTAGTATTTCTGTGAGTATTTCTACTCAAAAGGTAGGCTAATGTCACCTCTCCCAGAACTAAGCTGAGCCACCAAAAGGCCAGGTGATGTGCAGTTTATGAAAGGAAGAGATAACCAAGGCTGCTTGTTGGCTGTCTCCTACCTCCTCATTCACTGCAGCAAACAGACTGGAGTCATCTCCAAAGACCTCTGGCAGGAGTAAACATGCAGCAGTCATTTTCATATCTGTCAAAGGCAAGGATTTCTACTAAATTACAAAGGAAAACTTTCTGGCACTGTAATATCATCCTTGAAAAACAGACTCCAGCCTAAATAATAGTTAGCAGCTCACTAGTGGAGCTATTGTTCCGTCCACTTTGAAGAGTAGTTTGTACCACAGTCAATATTTAAGCAACTCAGCTGGTAATGAACATTTGTGTCAAATAATTCATGGGACTCTGCTACTCAATATTACAATTCAATTTTCCTCACAGTAAGTAAGTTGGCCTTTGAGTTGCTTTTAGTTGAGTTTGTGAGCTGAGTAGTCTTCCTGCTCTCACTGCCCTTCCCCAAACTCCTCTCTCCCCAGTAATTTGGAAGTCTGGGGAGTCCTGTTTCCAGGACTCTGCTTTGCAGGCTGTGGTACCAGCTGGTGCTGCAAAACCTTCTGGCACCTGGTACCTGCTATCCCTCTGGCTCAGCTGTTATTTATAGAACTTCTTTTATGCAGGTGTCATGTGCTTCACTGAACTTACCTTGCCATGCATTTATTGTCTAGGTGCCAGGCCAAGTTGTTTGTGAGAGAAAAACAGAAAAGTAAAGGCCTTGGGATTTTACTAAGGTATGAGTCAAAATCTCTGTGGACATGCTGCATAAGAAAAGGGGAAATTACTTACTATATCCATAGATTTCCTTGGCCAAAGCTATGAAAAGAAAGTCCATAAAGGCTTTCTGGATTAGACTACTCATTGAAGAATTTTCATCTATCATGAGTACTGTTGTTTTTAATCTTAGCGAAGGAAATCCCCAGAATTTTAATACACTTCTTGCTTCTTTCAAAGATGACCTGGCAATAAATGGAGAGGAACTGCTATAGGACACGCATGTGTTCATATGGTGTGACCTTCAATTTATACCCTGGCATTATGCCTTTTGGACAGAAAGTGAGTCTAAGGAGGACTTCTCAGAGAGCACAGGCACAGGCAGCAGCAGCTGGGGAAGAATGGCAATTCTGAGCGACTGCTTGAAAAGTTTTGTCCCTGCAGGACCACACTCCCCAGACTTCCCAGACTGAAAGAAGCTGTCAGCAGGTGTTTGCTCCCCACAGCCAGGGTACTTGGACCTCACCAGAGGTACCAGGCTGTGTGCCCTTTTTCCTGCAGTGTGTCTCTGCAGAGATGAGGTACCTGAAATGGTTAGTGAGAACTACTTTAATTTTACTGGAGTAAAGATTATAACCATAGAAACTTGACTTGTAACGGAAAGTGTGTCTTTTTTTTATGAGGCTATTGCTAAAGCAGAAAATTAGTTTTCTGTGGGTATTTTTAGAAAATAATAAGCACTCATATCTAGAAATACATACTTCTGCTCATCTAGCAATACTTATTTTAAGGTAATTACTTACGTTATCAGACCTGCCGTCTTTTATTCAGTGAAAAAAAAAGTTTCAATACTTGACTGACTTAATTTTCCTACTAATTTAGTCGCTTTTATTCTCAATGCTTCACCATCACTCTGTATTTTTAAAGAAACCATAACATTTTTGAAATGTGTGTGCAGTACAATTGAAAGTAGTCTAGTTCCATAAGTAAGAACAATTAGCTACAACAAAATTCTGATATTCAGAGCATAGGAGATTTATACTGACATTTCAGAATGTCTTCCTCTGTGTGATGCTTCAGATTTTCTTGCAGCATAATGTTAATTGGATTATTCTTCAGCACATACAAGGACAATATGTTTTCTGAATAAATCTCCAAAATCTCAACCGTTTTCTTATAAATGTCCATGTGTGTGAGAAGCTGGAACTCCCTAAAAAGCTAAAAGAAAAACAAGTATTTGGTATTGCAAACCTCAAAACCAAAACTGTAAATAATGCATGCACTTTGAAGACAGGATAAAACTAGCTCAGTTAAATAAGATTATAAACTTGAGAGGGTGATATAATTTTTTTTTCAAAGCAGGGAAGGAATACATCAAGTAAACAGTGACACTGGTGGTACGTGTGGCACATTTAACTCAGAGTTGAGCTAATGAACCTTTTAAAATGGGATTAGCTTCATTATGAGTTAGATTAAAGAGAACATTGCTGATGGATACTTCAGTGGAACTATCCTGTGAAATACATGCCTACAGATGTATCACATCTGTAACACAGGATTCAATGTCATTATTAAAAACAGCTCTGTTACCTGATAAGGGCATCTTAAGAAAGGAAATAGTCTAAGAATATCTTTTAAAGGTGCCTTATCACTGATCATCTTTCTCCGTATTTCTATTGTTGCATTCATTCTGTTATCCACTTCTTCCCAGTTCCTCTGAGTCTTCATATATTCTCGATTGAGCCACTTAATATGTAAATCCATTGTACTGTCTTTAAGATGAACAGGTTCTTCCTATGAAGGAATTAAGGACAGCATTGTAACAAATCAGCGTGTTTTTCTGATTATTTAGCTTTTTTAGCTCGTGTTATTTGATGTGACCTTTGTGATAGGAGCATAGCTGAGCTCAGAAGAAAGGGTAGTGTGGTTTCAATTCCAGCTCTCTGAACTCACCCTGGTATTCTAAGTTAGACTAAGGTCTATTTTCATATAAAACTATACCTGTCAGCCAAGTCCCCCAAGCCCAAATTGCTTATTTGAGACTATTCATGAAATTTCAGTTCCTGTTTCTGGTTTATTGGAAATGAGTAGTCAGTTCTAACAACAGCTCAGTATTTAGCAATATTAACCTGTATTATCAAGAGAATTTTAGTATTTTCCTCTTAACCATACAGGTCCTAAAAGCAGGACAACTAACTTTCCCATTTATGCAGCTGGAATTTTTACTCCCAAGGAGACCAGCTGAACTAAAAAACCTCTTATGAAAACAATTATTTGAGCAGTTTGACTATTAGTACATTTTTGTACATGAGGATAGTTAACAACCTTCCTCAAAATTATCATTATTGTCCCTGATGTAATTCCAAAGCCAGTAATTACTAAGAGGAGGGTGGCTACCCAAAGCAATACACCAACTGGAGTAGCCTGAGTGTGTGTAGCTTATCCATCAGTGGACACAATGAGTTTGCTCACTGAAACAAGCTGAGGGACATAGAGATGCTCAGTTGGTACAGTTACCATCCTCAGGCTGCGTTGCCACTGGCTCTTCCTATCTGTATTGTCACTGATGCAGCTGTGACTACACATGTGGGTGGCCTGTGGGTCAATGCCAGAGGGACTTGAGACACTTCAAAATACTCCCAGAACACTTCTGACATAGAGGTGTGAAACGCACAATGTCCCAAACCACTTTGCAGTGCTCTGCATGTGCAATTAAACTTTCCATTTTAATTAACATCCTTCTTTAAAACCATGCATGTGATAGTCCGAGAATGGTTGCACAGAGTACACAGTGAAAAACCTGCCTCTCTCCTAGTATATATCCATAGATACCAATAGCATTACAGAAGAAAATAAGTTCTGCATGCAGGATGGTTAGCTAATATGACTCCCTGGCCCTTGCTAGGGTTCTGTGTTACCACAGTCTGTGCTCTTTCTAATAGGAGATTTCAGTCTTCATTGTGTTACAGCTGTAGTGTTGTATGAGTTTGCCCAAGCTGGGCAACTCCCTGAGGGCTCCCCTGGCAGGGGAGACCCTCCTGGAGCAGTTCTGTGTCAGGAATGAGAGACGCATTGGACTTCTTCAGTCTTGAGCTTCTGTTTATTGTTATCTTATCAAAACTTCAGCACACAGTCTGCATTAGACTCTGTGCAGGAAAAACAGCACAAAAATGGCCAACAATCTCTTGTTACAAGGACTTTTAAGTCTAATCAAAAACTAAGCTACCCAATTAAGAAGTGACACCTAAATTATTTTCCTGTCTAACCCAATAGCTGACCCCTAAAGACCCTCAATGCAGATTTTTCTACCCAATTACAAGATACCACCTAAACCCAAAAAGAAAGAAAAAGAAGAGAACTCAACACCTTACATCCTCCATCCTGAACCCATCTATAACATACTAAAAATCCTAAAACCTAAATTTCTCCCCCATGTGACATACTATGCTGCTCTCTACAATCTCTACAATCTATTTCACACTTTTGTGGTTTCTAGTTTACCTTGAGGCTTTAGAAGTTTTCTCCATGAATGAGGGTCAAAGTCAGTGCTCCCCTGGGGGTCAGGACACCCCAGAGCAGACAGAGAAATATTTCCAGTGCCCTGGGTTTTCAGAGTGTTGTGACCAGCTTGCGTAGGCGTTCCTGGCCTCTTCCTCAGAGGACAGGAGCAGAGGTGTGGAGACACCCTAGTAGAACACCCTCCCCTACCTGACTGGGAGAGGTGCTAGGTAAAAATATAAATTACTTCACTACACTGGGTTTTGTGGACTCCCAAACTTTATATTTAATAGCCTTCATTCTTTACAGTTATACAGCCTTCAGTAGATTTCTTTTCTCCTTAAATTACTTCTCCCAGTCACTTTTCCAACTCTCATAAAATCATACCTTCCACAAAATCCTGCCTTAGATGTGGCAGGTTAACTATACGCTGTCAGAGGAAATGCATTTATTTGTTTTTCTTCTGCTACCTCTGCTTCCTAATTATCATACTGCATTCAAAACCTATTCACCATCTCCATGCCACTATAGTTTTACAGATGTGTCATATTCTGTCCTCAGACACCTCTTTTCCAGTGCCAAGATTGTCCTAAGCTATTTAATCATTCCACAGATGAAAGCTTGTCCATACTTTCAATTATCCTTGTTACTGTCTTTGCAAGTTTTCTAATTTCAGTGTAATCTTCATGAAATAGGTGCAGTATAACTTAAAGTACTTGTTGAGATATACTGGAACGTCACAGGGGCATACAGTGGAATAATGCATTGCCTTTTGTTCCTTTCTTAAATTATTCTGTGAAATCAACTTTTTTTTTTTGACTGCTGCTTAGCATTGTGCCAGATATTTTTTAGCCTAGTATAAAAATAGCATTTGTGAATGGTACTAATAAGCTCAGAGCCCATCACCATATGTGTTGTTAGGACTGGGTTTTTTCCTTGTGCCTTATTTTCCATCTATCAGAACTGAATTTTATCTGCTGGATTTTTTTCCCCTGGAATGGGGTCCTCTTGCAATTCTTTGGTCTTTAGTATCCTTGGCAGCATCATAAAATGTAATCTGCCAACTAGTCTACTTTTTCCATGTAATTTAGAAATATACTGAACTGCTTAAACTAAGCATTCACAATCTTTTCCACTGTAAACCCCAACCATTTCTGCATAGCCTTGTTTGTTCTAATTTTTAATTGTTTATCCATTCAAGGACCTTCCTGTTTATCCCCTCAGATTATATCCTCTAAGAGCCTTTGAAAGGCATGTGCTAAAATCTCTTCTGAATTTAAAGTAAACTATAACAGCTAGTTGCCTGTGTCCTCAGACAATACTTGCTGAATACTTCAATGAACTAATGAATTTGTGAAGAATTAGGTCTGTTTACTGAAACTTTGTTGATTCCATCCTAATGTGTTAAACTCTTGGGTCTGCATTACAGTTCTTGCCAACTTGGCCAGTGAAGACAGAAGGTTTCTTGGTCCATATGTTCTCTAGCTATCTCCTGAAACTCTAAAAACTGGCATCCAATTAGTTACCTCCAATTATCTAGTATGAGAAAAATTGTACATCACAATTTAAAAATTGCCTGTTTTATCCTTGGACACCACTGAAAATTTTGTGCAAGTACATGATTCTGGAAATGTGTCACTGCTCATTTTAGTGAATTATTCTGTCCCCTTTACTGACATGCCAGTCTTGAAACAGATGCCCTGATACTGGCCATGAAGAATGGTCCCAGTAATGTCATCATCTGGACTCACCTACTGAGAGTCCTTGCAAAATCTCTCTAGTTTTTCTGGTATGGCTTTATATTCTGCCAGCCATCCTCTACCTAGGGAGTGCATCTTGAGCACTCCTGTCTCTTAGCAGCATCAGGCTTCCTGCTCACCCTGGATGAGAAAGCCTTTGCAACCAGTGCAGAAGAGACAGAAAGCCACAAAAAAGAATTCTGTGCAAATGTCCATCAGATCACTCAAAGTCATCAGAGTTTTGTTTTGCTGCTGGTGTGTCATCTCTGCAAACTTCCTGCATCAGCCTTTGATGGTTTCTGGTATGAAATTTTTATTGGCTACTACTATGAGTACCATCCTAGTATTCACATATTCCCAAATGGGCCATTCAGCTATTCCTTAACCTGCTAACTTGCCCTTGGACAGGCTGTCCCTTGCTTCACTGTGATAAGTGCACAGAACCAAGGGATGACCCATTCTTGTCAGTCTCAAGATATCCATGCTTTCTCACACACAAAAACTTGAGCAGGTGTTAGGGTTTTTAAAATCATATTTATGGTTTTATGCTGTGCAAGAGCTAGCTTGAAGTCTCTGACTCCAAACAGCTCTTTCCCTTCTGGATTCTCCTGTGGGTCTGCCTTCAGGCCTCCTGCCCATAAAGCAGGAACTTCTTCAGCCAGCTGGTGTGGAATATGTTGGCTCATTCCCTGAGGACCTGTCACCTTCAGTGTTTCACTTGCAGAGACAAGAAAGCAAAACAACTCGACCCAGTGTGCTGCAACCACAGACTGACTAACTGGGCTGCTTAGAAACAAACATCAAGTTGTGACCTTTATGCCAGCTTCTTTCCAGCCCCCTTGTCAAGGCTGGAGAAAACCTAAATTTCAAGCATCAAATCACTGCTTGATTTGATGGACTTTCCCTGTGGTCAGCTCTGTCTTTGAGAGTTGGTTTAGCTGATGATATTATTAATTAGCTAAAGGAGACCATTTCATATTTTCATCAGTAGCAATGGCAAGCTACCAACAGAAATATGGCAGTAGTATAAGGAAGAATTGCTGTAATAGCTATTTATTAGGGGGGGGAAAATAGCAATGGAAGGCCAAACTTTGTAGTGTAAATCATCTGTTACCTGGGAGTAATACAAGCAGAAGTCAGTGTTAGAATTGGTTGCCTTGCCTTGAAGCAATCACTATCTGTAATCTTCCCAACTTCTTTGATTGTGAATAAGTTGGCTTTTAAGGTAAGCAGAAAGGTGAGAGGTGGCTTTCTTTTGGTGGAAATAAGTTGTCTCAGCGGGCAGGAATCTAGGTTTGGGAAGCTGGTTACTGAACTCATTTATCAGCCCACCACTTGCTTATTTAGGGAGGACTCTAGATCCTCTCCATTTCAACCATCATAGTGAAAACGCCAGTTATAGCACAGCAATATTCCAGTAAAATTTGACCATAAGTTTAAAGCTCAGTTATTTTGATAATGTGCAAAACCAGCCCTATCTAGACCAAAGCTGGGATGTCTTGTCTCAATATCTGAAGAAGCCACAGCTAACAGTTCAGCATGTATACCAGACAGAAC